CAACACATGTCACCAACACAAGCCACCAACACCACCACCAACACAAGCAAGAGGTTCAGTAAGGAGTTATACCAGAATCTGTACTAGGACAACTAGGTGAGAGAGAGAGAGAGAGAGAGAGAGAGAGAGAGAGAGATGTACAATAATCATAATAATCTACAGTCGCTAAAGACACAAGTACCAGCTGTTATAAAGGGCTCTATGTTGTGGGTGCAGTATATACACAAGCTGGTGGTGCGACAACTAAGAGAGAGAGAGATAAAAATCTGGAAATAAATAGAGAGAGAAAGATAAACAGTGAGAGAGATAAATAGAGTGAGACAGTAAACATTGACAGTGTTTTTAAGAGGTGAAACATCCTCCTATCTTCACATCTAACCAAGCGATCTAGAGACCAACCGACCAACAGCATTACATCACAAGAGGAATGAATGGTGGAAGAGGGAAACGTATTTAAATATATTTTGGCGTCACTGAGCTAAAGTTTGTGCAGACTGTGTTGTGCTGAAGACGGCTTAGCAGATAGTGAAGAACATCTAAGGCCCAAGAGGTGCTAAAAAGTTTACTCGAGAAACCATAACTCCGCCCATTATATAGAAACAAAATATGACAACAAACTTCGTGATTGGTCGAAAATCTGAGAGTCGCTCTGTGATTGGGCTAATGTGAAGTGACGTCATCACATTTTCCCCCCAACGTATATAAGTGATTGTCAGTCGTGAATAAGAGCAGTTGACTGATGAGTGAGGAAACAAACGGATTAATAAAACAAAATATAAATTGTTTTTATGTAAAACTAACTAAATTTACCTCTTGAGACAATTATAATGTCTCATGAGACACAAACCTTATGTCTCACCTATGATCTAGTTGTGGACTCTCTGGGCTATCCCACCTCTGCCATCTTATGATCGAGTTTATATGTTCGATCCCACCGCTGCCACCTTATTATTTAGTTTTTGAATGTCTGGGCTATCCCACCTCTTGTCATCTATGATCTAGCAGTTTCGTATCTCACTCGTTGGTCCTTATGAGCTGGGCCGGTCAGATATCAGGCAATCCCATCTACAAGTCACCTTGTACCAGTTGGTGTTTCCCCCAACTGGTACTTTATAACTCCTGTAGTTACTTCATATTTGTTTAAGAATATTTAATGTTCTCACAAACAATTTTTGACTTTTCCATTTATCTACCAAAATATAACACACTCTATGGTTATCAATTACTAACTAGCCAATAATAGCAACTGTCTATATACTAGAGAATTTAGGAGGTAATTTACAGAGACCCTTTAACACGCCTGTTGTGTGAGTTACAGAGGTTAAGTCCACTCAGGGCCAGACACTTGATGCTGACTTGTGCAGATCAGAAGTGCGTGGAGGACAAGGGGAGGTAACCTAACACATAAGAAGGTTTAGTTGCTGTTTTTCTAGTTAACTCGGGTAGTGTAAATTAAACATTATTTAAAAAAAATGATTAGCCCATATTTATATAATTATTACCGCCAATATCTTGATAGAGGCTAATACACCTATTAAGAATTTACTAATATATTTCTCAGACAGGTGAGTCACGATGTTCACTCTTCTACTTGGCCGTTCACTCATCCCGGGACACTTATCGTCTGATTGTCCCGGTGATAAGATTGTTCACTTCTGTTCATCCTGGACGTTTATCTTGACTGTTCATCTTAGCCGTTCAGTCAACAGTGTAATCCTGTTCAGGCCGTTTATTGACTCTGGTGATTTAGGCTGGAGCTGTTCATTCCTCCTGGGGGTCTGTTCACTCAAAGATATCGTTCATGTAGCCATTCCTTCATCATCATTATTCACTTATTCATGTCCATTCACTCATCCTTGACTAACTTATCTCCGATCCTGCCGTTCACTCATACTAGTTAGCCACACCGTTCACTCATACTATAGTTATCCACACCGTTCACTCATACTATAGTTATCCACTCCGTTCACTCATACTATAGTTATCCACACCGTTCACTCATACTATAGTTAGCCACACCGTTCACTCATACTATAGTTATCCACACCGTTCACTCATACTATAGTTAGCCACACCGTTCACTCATACTATAGTTATCCACTCCGTTCACTCATACTATAGTTATCCACTCCGTTCACTCATACTATAGTTAGCCACACCGTTCACTCATACTATAGTTAGCCACACCGTTCACTCATACTATAGTTAGCCACACCGTTCACTCATACTATAGTTATCCACACCGTTCACTCATACTATAGTTATTCACACCGTTCACTCATACTATAGTTAGCCACACCGTTCACTCATACTAGTTAGCCACACCGTTCACACTACCTATGAGTTACCCGGCCGTCTGACCACACCTGTTTCCATTGATTCCACAGCCATTCTGAATGTTCCAGCAGAGCGATTGTGAAGACTTGAGTCGTTTAATACCATTCGTGTTTCAGACGTAAGGGGACATTCCAGGATTCTGTTCATTCCAGGTGTTCAATAAACTAGTTTTGGGGATGTTGATTCCAGTTGCTTGATCCTTTCCTGTTTACTGTTGATTCAAGGTATTAAGATCATCCCAGTCTCCTATTCCAGTCATTCAAAGTTATTCCAGTCACTTCCATTCCAGTCATATGTCAATTCCAGTCGTTTTGGCTTTTCCAGTTAATTTGATGATTTATGTTAAATATATGTTAATTTACGTTCTTCACTTGTCATTATATTATATTAATTTATGATTTTTTTTGTTTACCTCTTGAGTTATGAGTTAGTTAGATACATTACAATAATATTAATGTTAAGAGAGTTTAATTTTAAATTCATCTTTGTGTCGTAACTTCAGTGAACGTTTAGATAAAGTCTCATAGATAAACTTACGATTTTATTTTAATTACGAATTTTTTTAATTCATCTTTGTTTGTATCGTTGGTTAAGGGAGTCAGATACGGTCTTATTATCACCATTTACGAGAGAAATTCCCCTTACGATCTTTCAAGACTGCCAGGGGGGGGGGAGGGGAGAGGGCAGCAAGCAGGAACATATGGCAGGTATAATGGCCGCCACGTCGCAGTTCCGCTGATTTGTGTCGTTAAAGAATCAATGATGTTCAAGGAGTCAATAATGACGTTATGTTTACTGTACATCGCCGCCCTGTGCCACCTGTTGTTGTGTGTCACCTGTCATCACCATAAGTCACCTGTCATCACCATAAGTCACCTGTCATCACCGTGAGTCACCTGTCATCACCATAAGTTACCTGTCATCACCATAAGTCACCTGTCATCACCGTGAGTCACCTGTCATCACCATAAGTTACCTGTCATCACCATAAGTCACTTGTCATCACCATAAGTTACCTGTCATCACCATAAGTTACCTGTCATCACCATAAGTCACCTGTCATCACCATAAGTCACCTGTCATCACCATAAGTCACCTGTCATCACCATAAGTTACCTGTCTCATTACCCATCAACACCCAACAAGATCATCTTATTAAACTAATGATTCAATATAGTTTCTCAAACAATAGTTCCGTTAATGTCTGCGTGTACTGAGCTATAATCTTTCTTCTCTAGTGGAAATTATCGTCAACACAACTCATCAGTACAGCACACACACCTAGACCTTCCCAGTCAGTTCAAATAACTTAGTAGTAAATAATTTTTGACAATACGAACGATAATTTATGTAAACAATATCAATTAGCATTTTAGTTATAAAGGAATATAGATGAAAACGAACGTAGCTTCGTGTTCGTGGTAGTTCATACCTTAAATTATATATATATATATATATATATATATATATATATATATATATATATATATATATATATATATATATATATATATATATATATAAACAATGTTAGTAATTACCACGACCTAAACACACTAAGTCCGTGTTGTTTATCGATAATGTAAATAAAAATTTTCTATAATATGTAAACAGACGTATTTTTATAAATCAATGTTATATTATCAACATTCCGTAATAAATACCAAGGCATTAATTTCAGGTTCTGTAAACATATATTGAATTTCGAATCCGTGTTATGTTATATATAAAAATACGTAGCAAATACAGCATTTACTGAGCCATATATCAGTAGTAAGACTTTTTATATCACCTGAAGAATTAGCAGCGAAAACCAAATTAATCCAGAGTTGTGTCAGGTAAACCGCGTTAATTTATATCTGCGAATGACGTAATAAAAATAGTGTTATGTCGCCTCACATGCAACCGACGGCGAGGAAACTCACAGCGACGTAACTCCTCGCCAACATTAACGCTCAAAATCGAAAATCTTAGAGTTTTATGTAATAAATATTGGCTCTACAACCCGTCTGGGAACACCTTCTCATTGTCAACCAATCAAGACTCCGGTGGGCGGGGCTTAGACGGACACGTCACGGTTCTCGACCAATCAAGGAGGTGAAGGGTCGGAGCCAAGGCTTCTATTGGTGGTCATCCTGGGGCGCTAACAACTAAAGAAACACTGAACTAAGGTAAACTAAGAGTTTATGGAGGGTTCTAAATGTGCCGACTCTCAGGGCCAGGGCGTTCACAGGGCCAGGGCGTTCACAGGGCCAGGGCGTTCACAGGATCAATGTTTTCACAGGAGCAGGACGTTAGGAGGACTACAGGAGGAGGGCGGTCATAGGTGGGCGTTCACACGGATAGAAGGATAAAGGTGTGGGTGGAAGGCTGGTGTGGGCGGAGTGTGGGTGTGGGTTAGAGTGAAGCTAGAGGGCGGGAGAGTAAGGGTAGAAGGAAGGTTGGTGAAAATGGAGGAATGGTCGGTGGGGTGAGGGACCTGAGTGAGAATAGAGGGAAAGGAGGAGGGAGGAAAGGAAGGAGGGAGGGAAGGAAGGAAGGAAGGAGGGAGGGAGGGGAGGAAGGAGAGGCACCTGAGAGTGACACAACACAGGGACAGAGAGTCAAGAAGAGAGAGGGTAGGAGGTAGGAGGAGTGAGACACATGTGAATCCCCACACTCACCCGGTAGCCTCCTAAGTCCTTCACCATGCAGGAGAAGGTGGCATCACGACCCACAGGCACTGAGACGTTGTTGAGGGGCATAGCGAAGTCCGGCTGACCCACCGCCCATCCTGAAGGTGCGGAAGGAATGTGAAATGAGAGAAGAGAGAGAATGGCAGTGTTAGAATTTTTTGTTTTATTGTTGCCTGGAATGTTTGGGTCATCATTAAAACACATTATGGGAAATAAGTTTTAATTCATGCAAACGAAATATGTCCACTTGACTCACTCACTCACTCTGCCTATAACCTGACGACGGCGGCGCAGCAGGAGAAGATGTATGTGTGTGTGTGTGTGTGTGTGTGTGTGTGTTGTCGCCAGCATCCAACAGTCGCCACACGCAGCACCCGACCTTCCTCTGTAAAAGTCTACGGACACCTCAACCCGCGTTTCACTTACTCTGCTCGTGACGTTTCAGCTTATTCTATTGATTTTAATATTGTGTGTGTGTGTGTGTGTGTGTGTGTGTGTGTGTGTGTGTGTGTGTCTGTGTGTAATAATAATAATAATAATAATTAACGGTTTATTGAAAAAAATTCTGCAGCCCGAAGGCTGAAAATATACATTGGACATAAATGACTTATTACATACATTGGTGGTTTAACAAAAGCCTTCATTAGAAAGGTGAAGGAACATACAGTGAACATACAGATTAATGTAGGTGTTGAACAGCAAACATGTTATGTAGTAACTCCCTCACAGATGGTGTTATGAGGGGCCTCACGTGGTGTAGTAATTCCCTCACAGATGGTGTTATGAGGGGCCTCACGTGGTGTAGCAATTCCCTCACCGATGGTGTTATGCGGGGCCTCACGTGGTGTAGTAATTCCCTCACAGATGGTGTTATGAGGGGCCTCACGTGGTGTAGTAATTCCCTCACAGATGGTGTTATGAGGGGCCTCACGTGGTGTAGTAATTCCCTCACAGATGATGTTATGAGGGGCCTGACGTGGTGTAGTAATTCCCTCACAGATGATGTTATGAGGGGCTGACGTGGTGTAGTAATTCCCTCACAGATGATGTTATGAGGGGTACGTGGTGTAGTAATTCCCTCACAGACGGTGTTCTATGAGTGAGGTGTGGTCCCAGGCCTTCCTATCGTAGACGGATTAACACATCGCTGTTGTTGGGTCGGGCCGTTATCACTGAGTACCTGGGACCTCACTGTGTGAAGGTCAACTTGGGTACCACTGCCACTGCTGAGTTGTTCTCACTGACTCAAGCACTGTTCACCACCGTTCACCTCTGTTTAACACTGGTTCCATTCCTTTCCTAAATGAAATAGCAACTTCTAGCGTGAACTTGTTGATATTCCGGTGGGGAGGAGGGTTCAGGGGAGGGAGCTGGTATGGGTCAACTTAACAGTTGACCTGGCAGCTCCGAGAGGAGCGCCAGGCACGTCTTGACCCTTCGGTGGTCAAGGATGAAGTGTGTTTGTGTGTGTGTGTGTGTGTGTGTGTGTGTGTTTTGTGTAGGTGTGTGTTGTGTGTGCGTGTCTGTGTGTGTCTGTGTGTAATAATAATAATAATAATAATAATAATAATAATAATTAACGGTTTATTGAAAAAATTCTGCAGCCCGAAGGCTGAAAATCTACATTGGACATAAATGACTTATTACATACATCGGTGGTTTAACAAAAGCCTTCATTAGAGAAAGGTAAAGGAACATACAGTGAACATACAGATTAATGTACAGTAGGTGTTGAACAGCAAACACGTAGTGTAGTAACTCCCTCCCAGATGGTGTTAGGAGGAACTCACGTGGTGTAGTAGTTCCCTCAGATGGTGTTATGAGGGACCTGGCGTGGTGTAGTAATTCCCTCACAGATGGTGTTATGAGGGGCCTCACGTGGTGTAGTAATTCCCTCACAGATGGTGTTATGAGGGGCCTCACGTGGTGTAGTAATTCCCTCACAGATGGTGTTTTGAGGGGCCTCACGTGGTGTAGTAATTACCTCACAGATGGTGTTATGAGGGACCTCACGTGGTGTAGTAATTACCTCACAGATGGTGTTATGAGGGGCCCTCACGTGGTGTAGTAACTCCCTCACAGATGGTGTTATGAGGGGCATCACGTGGTGTAGTAATTCCCTCACAGATGGTGTTATGAGGGGCCTGACGTGGTGTAGTAATTTCCTCACAGATGGTGTGATGAGGGACTTGACGTGGTGTAGTAATTCCCTCACATATGGTGTTATGAGGGACATGTGGTGTAGTAATTCCCTCACAGAAGGTGTTATATGAGTGAGGTTTGGTCCCAGGCCTTCCTATCGTAGACGGATTAACACATCGGTGGTTGTTGTTGGGTCTCCTTGGGGCCCATTGTCACTGTGTGTGTGTGTGTGTGTGTGTGTGTGTTGTCGCCAGCTTTTAACAGTCGCCACCTCAGCACCCGACCTTCATTGTAAGGAGTCTACGGACACCTCAACCCGCGTTTCACTTACTCTACTCGTGACGTTTCATCTATTCTGTGGTTATGTGTGTGTGTGTGTGTGTGTGTGTGTGTGTGTGTGTGTGTGTGTGTGTGTGTGTGTCCCTATTTTTCTACTATAAAATTTTAGAGACATGACAAAATATACCTTGATCCTCACCCCTGACCCCTCCTCCCTCCCCTCCATCGAAGCACCTTCACTCAGGTGTACTGTTAAGATAAAAGACATCTCTAGCAGCCTCTCCCTCCCCCCCCTTCTCCACGCCCTCTCCTTCTCTCCTTCCTCTCATTTACCTCTCCCACTGTTCCACTGTTTCCCTCTTCCTCCTTCCTTCACACCTCACTACTAACTTCTTTTCCCTGTCCTCGTTTTTCCTTCTCTTCCCCATCCTCCTCCTCCTCCTCCTCCTCTCCTTCCTTCTTTCTTACATAGTTGCCCCTCCTCTTCCCTCTTCTCCCTCTCATTCCCTGTCATCATCCTCTAGCCTTAATAATAATAATAATAATAATAATAATAATAATAATATATAATAATAATAATAATAATAATAATAACTTCAAAATAAACCCCCACCTCCTCCCTCACCCTCACCCTCATCATATATAACTCACTATAAGATATATAGAAGGAGTCACCTCAATACTCATCTTATTTTCTATGAATTTTTATTGCCTCAAGTCGGTCCAGATTGACTGTATTAACGCCACACCAAATATGTCCACCCCCTCCCCCCTCATCCACGCACCCCTCATGTGTGTGTGTGTGTGTTAGAGAGCTAATGTCTGTGTCTGTCTCTGTCTGTCTGTGTCTGTCTGTCTGTCTATGTGTGTTTACTTTATAGTGTGTACGTTCATGAGTTTGATTATACCATAGTTACTTATGAGTAAAAATGCTTTCATGATCGGTCCTGAGATACGATACTTGTGATGGAAAGAGAGAGAGAGAGAGAGAGAGAGAGAGAGAGAAATACCAGTCTACTCCTCAATTTAAACCTAACTTAACCCAAACTAACCCTCATACACGTGGAATTTGACTTCTTACCTCCCCTCACCCCCAGATACCCTCATACACGTGGGTTATACCTCCTTACCCCCTCCCCCTCAGGATAATACAAGAATCTGTCATCTATGAGAGGTCTATAAGAGGTAATGTGCTGATGGCCAGGATGAGTATGGCGGGTCAGGCACCACCACATATTAGAATAAGGTGACACACTGACCCTGCCACCAGTATGTAAAGTAGCGTGTGTTGTGTAAAGTGGCTGTAAAGTAGTGTAAAGTAGCTGCTGTAGTGTGTAGTGTAAGGTGGCTGTAAAGTAGTGTAAAGTAGCTGCTGTAGTGTGTAGTGTAAAGTGGCTGTAAAGTAGTGTAAAGTAGCTGCTGTAGTGTGTAGTGTAAAGTGGCTGTAAAGTAGTGTAAAGTAGCTGCTGTAGTGTGTAGTGTAAGGTGGCTGTAAAGTAGTGTAAAGTAGCTGCTGTAGTGTGTAGTGTAAAGTGGCTGTAAAGTAGTGTAAAGTACCTGCTGTAGTGTGTAGTGTAAAGTGGCTGTAAAGTAGTGTAAAGTAGCTGCTGTAGTGTGTAGTGTAAAGTGGCTGTAAAGTAGTGTAAAGTAGCTGCTGTAGTGTGTAGTGTAAAGTTAAGGATATTAGTCTGTAAAGTAAGTCCCTTATTGTATGTTAAGTGTTTGTAGTGTCTTAAGCTGAGGGTGTTAGTATTATTATTGTTGTTGTTGTTTTGTTGCAGTGTTTGTTGTTGTTGTTTAAAGGCAAGTCAACATTTGTACTCATAAATGTTTACAATAACAGGAGTAAACAAACGTGGGTCTCTATAATACACGTGTTTACATCTGGTGTGTGACGTCATCAGCTTAAAGAGACTCTCGACCAATGGCTGGCAAGGATCCATTTCCTCGCGTTCAAGACTAGATTAATTTCCATTAAATTTAATAGTGTTTCCAGCATCCGTGCGTTCACATGATAAAGTGGAGGTGGAGAGGAAGACTAAATAAATAAGGGGAATGGAGAAATAAGAAAAGATTAGAATTTATATGTAGTTTTTTGTGTGTGTGTGTGTGTATGTGTGTGTGTGTATGTGTGTGTGTGTGTGTCTGTGTGTGTGTCTGTGTGTACGTCATATATCAGTGTTGTGGTGGGTGTGTGTAAGCCAAGCCCTGATCAGCTGACTCCCAAGAGGGGGTGAGAGGAGCCAACCTTCCCTCCTCCTCCCCCCAAAAAATCTCCCTTTACTCCACCACTTTTCATAACCTTTCGTCTACCCAAAACAAAAACAATATCAAAAAAACAATACCAAAAACAACAACATATAAAAATAAAAAACAAAAACAGAACGAAAGCCAACGAAAAAATAAATGACATTGATACAGCAAAATACATTAGAGGATTAATGAAACATACGATAGGAAATGAGAATGAACGAAACTATCTGGTGATTTGACATTCCGTAGCCACTGACGACCCGAGGAAAATGAAAAGTCCAGATTAGGGTAAGATTTAGTGATGACGAATAGACAATACCTACAAGATTGAGCCTTTTAAGAAATTACTAAATAAATGAGGTCACTTCTTCCTCTTCCTCCTCTTCCTCCTCCTCCTCCTCCTCCTCCTCCTCCTCCTCCTCCCCCCCCCCCCTGCGACAGGTGATTGGTTGGTGGGTGATGAGGAAGAGGAAGTTACAATCATATCGTGGAACATGATTGGTGGAGATGAATCATTAAGGGAGGAGATGATTGGTGGAGATGAA